GTGTCCTTCATTATTATTTTCAGTTGCAGACTGAAATATTAAATCTCCTCTATCAGCACACTACAGTTTTATTTAAAACATCGGACATTGTCCAAAATTAACCTTCAAGCTGGATAGAGCTCACACCAGAGCAGCCAGTTTACATCATGTGACAATACGTATATTTTTTTATTTATAAAAACTAAACAGCCTACAGTATTTTTACACTCTTGTTTTATAAATGTTTATAAAATAATGACTAACATTCCAACCAGTCAAAGTTCCCTGGCAGCTCTTTACCTGCTGCTGAGTCCACTTATTTTGTAATCAACTCCACCTTGCCAGTCATGTGAGGGGTGGAGGTGTTTGTGTCGGTCATGTGACTCAGTTTGTGCCAGCAGTCATGTGCTGTTCAGCAGGTATCTGGTACAACAGGAAGAGCTGTGTTCTGCAGCGTTCTGTTAAACTGAGCTAAACCCAGGATGGTTCAGATTCTGTCGTTTTATTTGTTTATTACAGATGAACTTCCTGTACTACTTCCTGTGAGAACACGGTTTAAAGACGCAGTCAGGCGCAACAATAAACAGGAATAAATAATTAATCGAAAACAAACGTTACACCAGCAGTCTGCATTTACTTTAAACAGTCTAAGAATAAACAGGAACTCTTTGATTCAGTTAAATGAACAGTTTGTTTTTAAATGACCACAAATAAAGTTTATGCTGTTTGATTTCAGGTCATAATCTATTAATAATCCTTTAGATTATTTCTTCAAACAGAAGCAACCTCAAACTAAAATAAAACAACGTAAACACCAGAGCAAAAATAAATTCCTGAAGATCCAGATGAATACAAATAATAATAAACTCACGGTTTGTTGCAACAATCCAATCATGTAAAAACTTTGAGAGGAGAGCGTCAGGCGAGCTGCTTCCTGGAGCTGTGATTTACTGCAGACTGAAGACAGAAACATGTCTGAACAGGAAGGGCACTTGCTGCTGGAGGCTTCAGGTGTGACACATGAAACATGCAGACTGAACTGCTGTGTCTGTCAGCAAAATATCTCATCAACCACTGTATGCATTTGAATGAAACTCCTAAAAGATCATCATTAGATGGACATCTGCAGCTGATGACCTTCTGGCCTTCTGAGGTCAGTCCTTTTTACCAAGATGGTCATAACTCCGCCCCTTCAGGTCAGGATGCTTCAGTCTGAGAGGCGGGACTTTACCACCTGAAGGACACATTCATCCATCTATTCCTTGGACTGTTACACACAGCTGGGTCCTGGTCCAGTTTGTTGATGCTGGACACAAGTCCTTGACAGGTACAGATGATCCTACTCTCATGTTCCCCACACAGTGTAGTTTCAGAGGGAGGAACGTTGTCCTCTATRTCCTCATACATGCTGCTGAGTCCACATGTTTTCCATGGTTTGTGCTGTAAACAGGTGAGCTCCTCCTCTGATTGGCTTCAGCTGAATGCAGTCAAACCGGGCAGAGCTGCAACTCCTTTATCTGTCCACTAGATGAAGACAAAGGACAGATGTTATGTTAGTCCTTGTGACCTTCATGATTCTATAACGGTGTTCTTTCATGCTGAGGACAAACTTTTGCCACCACACTGTAAATTATTCATTTTACATTTTATTATTGTTGCTGAAAATGAATCACTTTCAGTCCATCACCATAAAACTCGCCTGTTCAGTTTTTTTCCTTTTTCAGCTGAGCTCTGCTTCTTCTGACCCTACTTTGTTCCACTCTGACTCTTCATGTTGTTTCTGTGGTTACTGAAACAAACTACAAGCAATCAGAATTTTATTCCCAGTTTTATGGAATAATTAACATTATTTCAATTTAATCTGATGATACATACAATCCTCTATGTTGCTGCACTGAGTGGTTTTCTGGCCAAAAGAAATTGCCACCAAAAAAAGTTACATTAATATTTTGTTGGACCGCCTTTAGCTTTGATTACAGCATGCATTCACTGTGGCATTGTTTCGATAAGCTTCTGCTATGTTCCAAGGCTTATTTCCATCCAGTGTTGCATTAATTATTCACCAAGAATTATGATGGTAGAGTCTGACTGCTGCACAAAGCCTTCTCCAGCACATCCTAAAGATTCTCTGTGGAGCCAATTCATTTGTGAAAATGTCTCATGCTCCCTGAATCACTGTTTCACAGTTCGAGCCCGATTAATCCTAGTATTGTCTTCTTGGAATGTGCCCGTGCCATCAGGGAAAAAACATTGATGGAATAACCTGGTCTTTCTGTATATTCAGCTGACCTCATTCTTTGAGCACAAACTGTTGCTGAACCTAGACCTGACCAACTGCAGTAACCCCACATCATAACACTTAGTTAAACCCAGGTGGAGACTGTTTTTTTTTGTTTGTTTGTTTGTTTGTTTTTTTTTTGGCCAGGCAGTGTATTTCTCAGTTAACTCTTTATATAGCCTTACATTTAAATATTGACATTTATTACTTTTATAAATTTATAGAAACTCACATCTGCTACATGAAAGTATAATAAATATGAGTTTCAGAGTCTTAATTATTAGATTTGATGGCATTGTTTGATTTTTTCTTTTTTCCCCCCAAATCGATTCTAGTCATATTATTAGCATTAAAGTCACTGTTGTGAGTTTTAGAGTCTTTAATGTGCTGTAATGTATTAATTATGAAATTATATTGTAAAAGCATTACTTTAAACTGTCATGAATGACTTTTAAAAACAACTAATAAATCCCATGTGAAAGTCTGTTTTTCTAAATGGGGTCATAAATGGGGTCGCATGACTCCCTGTAACAAAACGCTGTTTCTCCTTGTTGGGGAAACAGCGCCCCCCTCCTCAGCGACAGTCTTGTGGCCAGAGGCGGTACTGCAGGCGGAAGTGCTGCACCTGTTGATGAAAAGTCCCTTCCTCCTCACTTTAATTTAACTTTAACACCGACACACACACACACACCTAAAAACACGTTCTGCACCTGAAACCAGCGATACCTGGGAAGCTCTAACGTCCGACGGTGGTTTATTGAGTCGGTCCGGCAGCAACACGAAGTTTATGGATAAACTGAAGAGCGTTTTGAGCGGGCAGGATGACGGGAACGCGGACGGGAGCGGCATTCTGGAGGTGTTGTTAGCAAGCTGTTAGCCATTAGCTTATAAGTGAAGAGAGACTGATAAAAACACTTAAAACACAATTTTAATGTCCAAACCTGAGGTCAGAACTAAGATATATTTGAACTGAAAGATATAAAAGACATATGAAAATAATAGTTTTGGATAATCATGCTAATAAATTTATTGTTTTAATAAATTACTCTTCATAACCCAGTTAGAAGATCCAGCAGAACTCCYTGTAAAATCCGTAGGTTTTTGCTTCTCTCCAGTTTCACAGTWATTTTGAGCAAACTGTTGGTGCATCTTTAACTATATAGCAAATAAGCATTWAAAAAGTTATTTGGCATATTTTAAAGTACAAAGAATGTGAGTTAACTTTGTTTCTACTGCTTTTACACACGTGACAACTTTGTCATAATAAGAATCTAGTGTTTTATCTTATATCACAGGAAAAGATAAGAAAATTTCAATAATAAAATGGATTTAATAAAGGAGTTCTCCAATTATGTCATAGAAAAGCAACTATATGTGTTTAATAAAAACATGCATAAAGTAGTTTTACTGTGATAAAACTTGAGGTTTTGATGAAGATGACGTCCCGTCTCTGCAGAGAGCAAACCAGGCGTCGACTYTGGCCTGGGGGACGAGGATGAAGGGCTTCCTGATATGCTTCATTTTGGGTGCCTTCCTCTCCATCCTGGTGAGTGCTTGATGCTGCAGCTGTCGTTTCCATGGTAATGACTCCTCTTGGACTTTTCTGCCCCTTTGGAGAAACATCATTGGCTAAAGTGCTACATCTTTCAGTTTTCTTCTCTTCTGCTGTTTTTATCTGACCATCACATGACAAAAATAAACCTGCCAGTGTTCAGAGTTTAAATTAGTCTCTCTGTGTTTTTTGAGTTAAAGGCTGAAACAATAAGTCAGCATAAAACACGTTCAGTAATTAGGCATTTTTTGCTGTTTAACAAACAAATGATTCAGAAAATCAAAGTGAGATAACAATAAATGCCTCAAATTGAAGTTTTTGTTCAGCATTTAACTAAAATCTGAAATAAAATAACACAGAAAATTTTCTCTTTCAGCATTTTTGTTTTCAGACAAACTGAAACAATCAGTATTGGTAGATGGTGTGAGACGAATATTACACATCACGCTCCTGTATCATGAGACCTACTGCAGATCTGTTCTGGTTTCTACTGGACTACTTCAAATCTACTAATGATCTTTTTCTGGCTCATTTGGAGTCTATATTTGTCCTGATTCTGGTCTACTTCTAATCTAATACTGGTCTACTTTATGTCTACTTCTGAACTACCTCATGTGTACTTTGGGTCAACTTCTGGCCTTGTACTGGTTTACTTCTAGTCTACTTTTGGTCTACAACTGTCCTTGCTTCTAGTCTGCCTCTGTCTACTTGTAGTCTACTTCTGGCCTTGTATTGGGTCACTGTCTGGAAGGTGTGTGGGTGTCGACCTTTAACCTTTGTTCTGTCTTTTCAAATGTCCTGTTTAGATGGTAATGCCATCTCTCACTTCCTGTGTGTAACAGTCTTTGTTTTTGTCTTTGTATCCAGGGTAGCTGCTTGTTATGGATCCCAGGTTTTGGACTTCCGGTCTTTGCTGTCCTCTACAGTTTTGGAAACGTCTGTGCTCTGGCCAGGTACCAAATCAGAACCTTGTTTGCCTGGCTTCGTGCCTTTGGTCTTCACTGAGGAGTTGTGGACCTGTGGTTCTGAAAGTTCGACTCTTTTCTGAGCTTGTTTCTGTATGTTTTGGTACCAGCACCATGTTCCTGATGGGTCCGCTCCGCCAGCTGAAGACCATGTGTGCTAAAGAGAGAGCCATCGCCACCGCCGTCATGCTGGTGAGACCTGGTTTCTGTACATCCAGGATCAGATTCTGTTGGACTTTCTGCACTGCGGTCATGTGTTTTTGATTTATTCTGTTTTTATTTTAGACCTGTCTGGTTCTGACGCTGTGCGCTGCTTTCTGGGTGAGAACCAAACAGAACCTTTGTGGTTTCAAGTCCTGTTGTTTTGGGCTATTAGATTGTTTTTGTGTGTCTGCAGTGGAAGAATAAAGGCCTGGCTTTGCTCTTCTGCGTCCTTCAGTTTCTGGCTTTTACCTGGTAACACACACACACAGACACACACACACACACACACACACACATACACACAAACACACTCAACTGTTCCTGTGTTAGTGTCACCTGACTGACGCCTGATGTTTATGTGTTGCAGGTATAGTCTTTCCTACATCCCATTTGCCAGGTAAACACACACCTGAGGAGAGAAAACTGTCTCAATCTGTGGTTCAGTTTCTGCATCCAGATAAAAAAACAATGAAGTTTTCTTTCAGCTCAAGTTCATTTAGGTTTAGGTTTAATCAAGTCTAAGTTAAAGTTTTGATCATTTGTAGCTATAGTTTTAGACATTTTTTGCTACTCTTTAGAACACTTTTAGCCACTTTTTTGCCTCTTTTTTTAATTTAGTTTCTTAACTTCAGTTTCTTCAGTAAAGTAATTTGGCTCTCAGCATACACTTAATTTATTATTTATTAAAATACTAATAATGTAGATTTTGGTTGTTGTAGTCTAGAGGTTCAGGATCAGTATAAAAAAAATTTTCTTCATCTTTTATAGTTTGTTTATATTTAGTTTTAGTTTCTATGGCTTCAGGTTCAGAAGCTAAATAAAAATCAAATCTTTGTAAATAAATTTCCTTGTGTTTTCTGTTTTTCAGGGACGCTGTCATCAAATTATTTTCACTCTGCATGAATTGACTTCAGTCATTGGACCAATCAGGACGCAGGACGCTTTGGTCTGTATCCAATCCGGACTGTTTAGTTGTAGTTTTAATTTTCTAAAATAACTGGTGTTTTGAATTCTTTGTTTTCTACCAAAGGAGTCTTTATTTGGTGCCTAATTATACATTTAAAACATGTTTATAATAGAAGGCTGAATGTTTTTCATGTGTTCATTAATGAAACAGTTAATCTTAATTAATTAATTTATAATTAGCAAAATTAGACCAGCAAGAAACAAATATTTAACTAGTAGAATTACATATTAAAATGTTAAAAAGTTACAAAATATCTTAAATTGATGTAAGATAGTAGTTTTTTTAGTTTAGTTTTATTTTGATCATGAAAAAACAAAAATACAAAAGAAAATAATAGTAATAATGACAATTAATTGAAGTTATAAATTATTACAATATTCATAGTGTGGCAAACTGTTTTTTTTTTTTGGTTCAGTTTCTCATATATATATGTGTGTGTATATGTATATGTATATATATTTAAAACAATCACCAGTTTTGTTTAAAAATGTAAATATTCAACAATCCATCTGACCGTTTTTAAATCTTTTATTAATTAGTTAAATAAACACAGACAAAAACTTTCAGGACTTTAAGTAATTCTAACTTGTTAACAAAGTCTGTAAAAACACTAAAATTGATATATTTATGTAAAACTACAGTCGTYTTACACTGAAGCTTGGAAAGTCCGGAATATTTCATATTGATAGTAAAATATTTACTGTTTAAAGAGCCTTTGTGTTTATGGAACAGCATCAGTGCCACAAAACTTTAAAATGTAAAAAAATTAARCAATGAGTAAAAAAGGGGCAAAAGGATAATAGCTTATTAATAAATGTGCTAAGCTGTTTTGTAGAAAGCACAGAAATATGTAAAGTAACAAGATAATTTCAACAAGTTTTTATGTACTCTGAATCAGACATTTATGGTAATAATTTGGTTTATGTTTTTATGGCACTCATTGTTCCATGTTTGCAGAGACAGGCAAATATTTAATTTATTTAAGTTCTCTACATTTTTGTTTTTCTCTTACAGTTTTGTCATTGATTAGGGGGTAAATGATAGATTTTCCAGGCACGTAATTCAGTTCTATAACGCAGTCAAGTAACTGTTAACTTCAGCTGTTATGAAAATGCTGTATTTGTCATAAATCACTTTGACTTTGCGTCATAGCCTATCTAAACACCTTTTAATTTAAGAACTTCCTTCTGTTTCTGACACTCCCACTTCAGCACGTCTTCACAGCAATGCTTCGGGGGAGGGGTGCTCTGTGGGGCGGGAGCTCGACTGCAGACTGAGCTCCAGGGAGGAGCTTTAGAAAAATAGGTGGAGCTTTGTACCAGCAAGCATTTAGGCAACTTCGAGGGATGCAAGGATTAATGAGTCAAAGCAACACTCTGGGTGTGTTTTTGATGAGGGAATGACAATGTGATATAAAGCTCAATAAATCGATTTTGCACAATACACCCACTTTTAATTTGTAATGAATAAACATTTCAGCTTCAACAAATTCCAACTCAAGGATAGAAGTGTTTTTATATTAAGCATTTTATAATTATCTGTAAACTGTGAAGAAATCAATGAATGAAATATTATTTTGTGTTTTAATTTAATGTTCTGTACAAAATGTTTCCTTAAATTCAAATCAACATTTCTCTTTTTCTCTTAAATGTCATTTTTTTTGTTCAGTATTTTATTTAAAAGATTTCATGTTTTTGTTGTGAATCAGCTTTCATCAAAATACCCACATAAATAGGTCCACACAAATATTTCAGAGTTTTTTTTTCTTGTTATAAATTTAAATAATTAAAGTGTAACTTACCCCCCTGTGAAAAGATAACTCCACCCCAAGGCGAAATTTGAAAAATGCGTCAAAGTGGGTAGAGGAAGTGGGGTTAGAGAGCGGAGGTGTGGCCAGGACGAGAGAACGTGACAGGCAGCTAGCATTAGCATAATTGATGCTACATGGAAAGTGACCACAGTATCGCAGATAGTTACATCTCACATCTCTGAACGTCTGAGGTGGAGGATTTTCACCCCACACCACACCAGCACCGGACAGAGGAGGAGGATCGCTCCGCGACAGCCTGACAGA